ACTCTGGAGTCCAGTTCCTGCCCCCACCCCAGGGAGCAGATCAGTGTGGCATGGAGACCTTGTGCAGTGTGGTGCAGCAAGGGAGCTGAGGGTGAGGCCAGGGCTTCCATGTGGCATGCAGACTAGAAGCCTGTGGCTTATACTAGTGCAGCCCATCCAGCATGCAGCCTCTAGTAGTGCAGCCCAAGGGAGAAGCAAAGGGGCACATATGGCCCCCAACCACTTAGAAGCTGGACTGTCCTGATGTAAGATCACTGTGAATACGCCATGAGTAGGGACCTACTGAATTCATGGCAGAAATGGGGTGTGTTGAGGCTCCTTTAATCTTGCAGTCTCCCCCACACCCTCCACCCCCCACCGGTGATTGGTGGAGGGACCCCACTTGCGGCTCACTCCTGATTAGCAGGGAGGTGAAAACTGTGGTTTTAAATATGGCACCATCTTTACCTCCTTCCACTGATTTGCTGAGGGCACCTGGTGGCCCTGCTGCTTGCTGCTGACAGGTGGGAAGGCAAAAACCATGACATGTTTAAAACCGTGGATTTTGCTTCCCTGACAATCAGAAAGGAGTAGTGGGGGAGGGGTGCATGGGGGAATATGAAAAATTAAAGGAGCTGCCATGTACCCGACTTCTGCCATGAATTTGGTAGGTCCCTAGCCATGAGGCAGGAGGAGGATATAGAAAACCTTCAAGACTAAGCAATGTAACTAGCCACGTGATGTGATTCACAGAGCTACCAAATATGTATTTGTCCACATAGTAACTTAAGACTGGTTTTAAAATAACTTCTTTGTGAAGAAACTAGCAAACATAAAATGTTACTAAGGCTAGGGACAGAAGTTGCACATAAACTGATTTAAGTGATCAGAAGTTAGTTTAAACCTGTAACAGAACAGAAGCTCTGTTCACATAAACCAGTTTCAAAATGGCCAAAACTGGTTTAAGATAAACCTGGTTGAATGTAGTATCAGACTTAACTGATTGAGATCAAACCAGTTTATGGAACTTCTGTCCCAGACCCCTTCCTTGTTTAAGTTCAGTCAGAGTCCCACACCATCCCAGCATGCTTTTCAGCCCTGGGATGGGCTCTGCTATCTGCTCCAGTGGAGCAGGGCTGGCCCCACCACTCTGCTCTAGCCAGAGTAGGGGTGGGAGCATGGCAAGATGCCGCCCCCCCTGCCCCCAAGGCAGACGGGGCAGGGAAAAGGTTTATCCCCCCACTTTCCCACCAGCACGGACCCCAAACAGGGGTCTGCCAGGCCGGGGCACAGCAGCCTCTGTTAGGCATTTTGACCCACTCGCCAGCAGCAGCCTGAAGTGAGTGAAGACTGGTGGGGGGATTTAATTCCCTTCTCTGTCCCCTGTCCCACCAACACGGACTCAAGCCAGGATCTGTCTGCCTGGGGTGGAGCAGTCCATGTCAGGACCCCTCCTTCCCCTTCACTGCTGCAGTGGCAGGGGCAGGGAAATGGCCAGACGCCAGCCCAGCATGGCCCCCTGAGGCAAAGGGGACAGGAAGGGCGTTTATTCTTCCCTCTTTCCCCTGAGACCCCAGTCAGGGTCTGCCCGGCCAGGGCAGAGCAGCCCCTGTCAGGAATTGTCCCCTCCCCCCACCCATTGGAGCAGCAGAGGGCATGGCCAACCCTGGCAGTAGCCTCAAATTAATGGGGGAGGAAGGGGGTTTAATTCCCCCCTCTGTCTCCTGTCCCACCGGCATGGACTTGAGGCAGGGTCTGCCAGGCCAGGGCACAGCAACCCATGTCAGAACTACTCCCCCTTCCATGCTGCAGGAGGGGGGGGGGGGGGGGGGGGGTGGCCAGAGGCTGGCTGGCATGAGCCCCTGAGGTGAAGGGGACAGGGAGTGGATTTATTCTCCACTCCATGCCCTCTCCTCCAGGAGGACCACAGCTGGGGTCTGCCAGCCCCAGCCACCACTGCCATCACCTCTGCCACTCGCACCTGGCCAGGCAGACCCTGGCTGGGACTCCCAAGGGGGAGAGGGGGCAAAAGAAGGAATAAACCCCCTTTCTGCCTCTTTCACCTTGGGGGGCCATGCCAGCCAGCGTCTGGCCATGCCCCCACCCCTGCCACTGCAGCAGTGAGGGGGGAGCGACCCTGACACCAGCTGCTCCACCCCAGTGAGGCAGACCCTGACTCGGTGGGACAGGGGACAGAGGGGGGAATTAAACCCTCCTCAGTTTCCATTCACTTCATGCTGCTGCCAGGGCTAGCCACACCCACCACCACTTGAGTGGTGAGGGCAGGGGTGTGAAATGCCTGGCGGGGGCTGCTTCCCCCTTCCCCATCCAGGCACACCCCAGCTGGGGTCCCTTCAGGTTGGGAGTGGAGGTTTAAACCCTTCCCCAATCATACTCCGTCTGGCTGGGGCCTGGCCACACCCCACCACAGCACAGCTTCCCTGCAGCTGACGGCTTGCTCTAGTGCCCCCAGGCTTCTAGGCTGAGCCACTGCAGGCATGTGCCTGCATTTCTGGAATCAAAAGTGAATGTCTATTCACTTGCAAATCAGTTCAATCTATGCAGGTGAGACTAACCTGCAAAACTGAATCAACTCATGCTCAGGCCTTTTGAATGTCTGTACTTAGCCAAAGAAGGAAAAGGATGCTTATGCTACAATACACAGGCATTTTTATAGGGATGTATTGTTAGGTATTTATTGTGATTTACATAGCTTTATACATAGCCACAGATATTTACTTTGGTGTATGACCACTGGGCAGCAGAAATGATATCTCCCCTTAAATATGTTTGGAAAGATAATATAAGGCTATGTAAATCAGAGTGAACTTCATCAACTTGCATAATCCAAACTCCAGTGGCTGGGTAAGATTGTGACATGTTTATTTGCATTGATCAGTTCCTGGTTAATTTAAATGGGACTGCTCGTAGTGTAAGATACTACTATATGTGAGTAAGATATGACATTTGGGCACTCTATGTGCACCCCCTTCATATTACTATGATTTCAAAACTGGTGTTCTAACTGGGTTCAACCAGCAGCAGTTTTACCAACTGAAAAGAAAAGGACTCTTTTTCAAGCTGTTAAGAGAGTCCTATAGCGGCTGTCCTGAAGTGGTCTCAGCTGAAGGTCACCATTTGGAGACCCTGAAGGTCCTAGGGAAAGCCTTGAAGATAAAACTCCAAAGTTTCCCATTTAAAAATATTCTATCTCAATTTTAAAAGATAATGGGCAAGGACATATCTACATGTGCATTAATGCGCCATAATTACGGTGCATTAAATGTAGTCCCTGTAATAACAGGTACTAACTTAATGTGTGGTAATTGGCACTGCTGTGCAGTAGTGCCAGCACACAATTTCTAAGTGACACTAGTGTGCAGTAGATTAATTCTACTGCACATTAGCCTGGGTTTCACCATGATATACTAATGCGCAATAGAATTAATCTACTGCACTTTTAGCACCTCATGTAAACACATCCACTTTATATTTCATCAGTCTAATTAATTTTAAAATAAATAAAAACACTGGAGGTTCGTGTAAGTCAAAACAATGGAAAAGATGGGCCTTCAACTACCTGAATTGTGCTTACAAAGAGGATGGAGCTAGACTGTTCTTGGTGACGGCAGATAACAGAAAAAGGATCAATGGTCTCAAGTTGCAGCAAGGGAAGTTTAGGTTAGATATTAGAAAAAACTCTCACTAGGAGGGTAGTAAAGCACTGAAACAGGTTACCCACAGGTTACCCAGGAAGGTTGTGGAATCTCCATCCTTAGAGGTTTTTAAGACCTGGATAGACAAAGCTCTGGCTGGGATCATATAATTGAGGATGGTCCTGCTTTGAGCAGAGGGTTGGACTAGATGACTTCCTAAGGTCCATTCCCACCCTAATTTTCTATGAGTCTATAATTCTATAAGAGACTACTTTGGACCTATTACTTTTTGGATCTTGCTACAGAATTAACAAGCCATGGCCTGATCAGAGAGAAAAATATAGTTACCAGTATGATTCCCTTCAGTTATGCAGGCTAGGCCCCTCAATCTTAAAACCGTCTTTGAGGAGACTGCATTCTCACTTATAATCTTTGGCTGCAAACAACATTTGATTTGTCCCTGGCCAAGTTGTGCCTGTGTTTGTCCCAAAACAGAAATATCTTGGGATTGGTGTGTACATACATCACCCTTCTAATCAGGGTTTAGTGAGCAGCTGAACGCACTGCTGCTTTTCTGCCATTGATTCAGTGATACAATTCTGGGATAACTCTTCAGGTGCACTTTGTGTTGTACTGAGAATACACTGTTGGTACTACTTATCCTGTGAACCTTTTGGGGATTTATCCTGGGTCAACAGACACAGATGTCTGAATGACTCCACTTTGTCCTAGAATTAAATGGTTTATCATGGGACAAATGCAAAGTCTGTTCATAGCCTTTGACTCTTAAAGGGCACATCTACATGTTATGCTATGTCACTGTAGCAACCCACTATGGCGACATAGCATCCCTGGGGGTCTACATGTGACTAGCTGCTACTTTAGCGTAGCAACATGCTCCCCTGTTATAGCATGCCACTATGGTGAAGTAGCTACTAAAAATAACCTGCATAGGGCACATGGTGCAGTATGGGCTGTAGCTGAGCCATGATTTAGTACTTCCAAAAGGAAGTACTAAATCACAGTGCAGTAACAATGTTGCCATTGCAACACATGTAGACATGCCCAAATATCAACTAGTTGGAAATTATTCACTGCAATGGTGACAGAATAACATAATAATCAAAATAGACCTATATAAGTATCCATTAATCCCTCTCCTCAATTGCTCCATTGTCCCCTGTAGATTTTACCTCTGAAGACTTCTTAGCAATGATTTTGAGTGTCTTTGTTCGTTGGGCCTCTATTGCTTTCCCTGGTGTCGGCAAAAGCTGGTTTTGCTGTGGCACAGATGTTGTCTTAGAAAAACATTCTGTCAACAAAAGATATATTTAAAAAAATTATTTTGGCAAAAGACAAAAAAATGAGTTTTACACAGGTGTTAAATTTCCTGAAGTTAATCGGGTAGAAAAATGTCTCTGAAGCCTCGTTCGGTCCATTAACTGCAGTGCCACCTGCCAATGACTGGTCTGAATGCAAACAGCTTTTATAAGTCTTTAGGATAATTGACAAACCCAAACAGAATCAAAATTCAGCATGGCCCTTCTGTTCTTACCTGCTACCTTCTGTGTTTATATCCCCAGTGTGTGAAACATACCTTCTTTTATAAACGGGAGAATTGAATATAAGAAGCAGGGTTGTTCTGCTCACTTATGTGAAAATTCTACAGATGAGTGAATGCCCAGCAAACCAGGACCAGCATCATCCCTTCCCTAGCCACCAAACCTTCTAATTATTGCTTAAAAGGAACATTATTCCTGCAGCATGGTAGATGTGTGTGCTGTATTGCAAGTAGCTAGAAAAGCACTTAGGAGCCATTTGAAAAAGATAATGACATTTTTTAAAGACCACAATCTTCCAAAAGAGAATTTTATTCAGAGACAAATGTGGAAAAATATGAAAAGAAAAGAAAAAAAGATGACATTAATTCCTCCTCTTCTTCTTCTTTATTATTATTATTTTGTTAGCTACTATTTCAGACTATTCAAAAGAACTTTCCCCATATACAACCTCTTGCAGTCTGGCTTTTACATGACAATCTCCTACCCCCATGGCCCTGGCACGAATGTAACCTTTCTAAAACTGAAAAGTGCTCCTTGTTGGAGCTCACCAGTGCAGTCCCTAGGTTAACTAATTGGGCTTTTGCCTAACAGTTCAATGTAGTCCCAGCTTCTGCAATGCTTTGGAAAGTAAAAGAAAGGCTAGATCCTAGGTATTGAAACAAAGTCTCTTGCTTGTTAACCAGTGACAAAGGACACAACTTTCGTGAATTTCTGTTTTAAACCTGATGCTCAAAGGTCTTATAGGAAAGTTATAACTCAAACATCCACGTGTTTTTTAAATAAATCCAGGTTTGTGTTACAAACTATATTCCATAGTAATTGCAGGTTAGTTGTGTGTATAATGCAACTGAACATTAAAGATATAGGCCACCTAGTTGTGTTTGTCCTGATGATTTAGACAGCTCTCAGCAACAGCTTCACTATTAGTACAGTTGTCCAGCAGCTGTATTGTTGCTACTTTTGCTTATTATCCAGCATTACACTGAAATTGCAAAAAGATGTTGCAAGGTATCAGGTAGATGCAGTAACTCTTGAAGGTGCATGTTTATTTCCCAAAGTGTAGTTATTGATCTCTGAGGTAGCCGTAATGTGGTTAACATCAAGTGCTCACACACTGAAGGGAAGAATGGATACTAAAGTAAATGAAAACTTTTAAATATATCACTTTGGACTATGGTCATAGTAATTATCACAAGATAATCAGGACAAGGGCTAGCCAGCTCTTAAACTAGACATCTCCAAATAAATTTTAGCTAGTAAAGAAGTGGTAATGATGTTTCAGTATGTAGCATGCTTCTCTCTGAGTTTCAATCTGAATTGTACCCACAACTCGCAAAGGTACTGACCTTCTGTCTTATGAATGAGACAAAAACAGGGTCCCAAAAATGTGAAGTGGCTGATTATTGCAAGTGATAGTTGCAAAATTAGGAGCATTAACTGTAGTGCGCTGAACATATTGCATTAGATATGGTTAAAAACTCTCTTCTGCAGTTTTCGTGTGATATATGGTATTTCTTCTTCACTTCTTATAGTAATGAAATAACCATACAAATAACTAGATAGAAAAGTAATCTGTTAAATATCTGCCAAGTAACGTCCCTGAAGGGAGTATATTTCTATATTGCTTGAAGTTGTTCTTATATATGCTTTTTTATAAAAATTACTTTGGGAATGAAAAGAGTAATTATATACTTGAAAGAAAAGGCCTTTCCAGTACTCAGACAGTAAAGAATGAACAACCCACAAAAGGAAAAGGAAGAAAATGGGCCCCATCTTAAAGCAATTAGTGATAGAGTTGCTGAACAAGAAAAAATGGCCTTCTAACTGGTTTTTTTTAAATATATATAATAAAAGGATTGAGAAACCAGAAGTCAAGAGACCTCCATTTACTTACTAGCTTTTTTGAGGCACATATTACCACACAAAAACACTAATAAATGTTACATCATCCCTGTGAGTTATGAAAGCATTATCCCCATCTTTCTACCCGACAAGTTTTCTGCCTAAAACTTCTGAGTCCCAGAATATGGGTTTACCCACAAAACCATCCTTCCTTCCCTCTGGGAAAGAATGGGATATAGGAGAGAGATTTCTAGAATTTATGACAGAACCAGGATTGCTGGGAAGAACCTGGTGAGGTAATTCCCATACTGGCTAGGGGAAGCTATGCTATACTGAATATAGTGGGAAAAGCCTACTTTTGTATTTGGGATTTGGCTAAAGGCCAGCACAGAGCTATACATATATTTTCAGCTAACTCTAACAGAAGTCTTTTTTGGATAAATCAGTCTTAAATAGTCATGGCCTATTTTTTGCCCATAATAAAAACCAGGGTGGTGTTCAGTGCTTTGTCCAGATATTGTCATATTTATGAAACTATAGGAGACCCATGCTCCAGAAATGATTATAGTGATCTAATATTCTAAACTGACTATAATGATGCTTGCTGGCTATATCATAATAACATCATAGGGCACCTATACACATGCTCAGTGCCTGCTCCGATGCGTTCTAATTAATCAACTCTGCTGGGGCATGTTAATTAGCACACTCCAGAAGCCTCAGCATCACATGTATTCAGCATTCCTGTGCTCCAAAATGGTGGCAGGGGCACTTTAAAGCTTGTCAAATGAGCGTTAGTTAAAGTACCCCTGCTGCTATTTTGAAGCATGGGACACTAAACACACAAGATACTTCAGGTGCTCTAATTAAATCACCCACCCCACCCCAGAGCACATATAAAGATGCCCATAGAATCATAGAAAATAGGTCTGGAAGGAAACTTAGAAGAACATGTACAATCATACGAGAGTAGAGCTGGAAGGGGCCTCACAAAGTCATCTAATTCAGCCCCCTGCTCAAGTCAGGATCATCCATGGCTAAAACATCTAAGTTTGTCTGTCCAAACTGCTCTTGAAAATTTCCAAAGATGGAAGTTCCACAGTTTCTCTAGATAGCCTGTTCCAATGCTTCTCTAGGTAGCCTGTTCCAAACCTTCACAGTCAGAAAGTTCCTCCTAATCTCCAACCTAAATTTCCCCTGCTAAAGCATGAGACCATTTCTCCTAGTCCTGTCTCCTATGATCACAGAGAAAAGCCCACCTACACCCTTGATGCAATTGCCCCTCAAATATTTGAAGACTGCTATCAAATCCCCCTTTACTCTTCACTTCTCCAGACTAAAAAACTGTAGGTTTTTCAACTTTTCCTCATAAGCTTTGCCTGTGATGTTCCTAACAATTTTTGTTGCTCTGCTCTAGAGGTGCAAAATAAGCATAAGCAGGAACTGCAGCAAGACATGCAGGACTGGCACGGGAGGTATATACAGGGCAAACAGTTATTGTGTATACTTCAAGAAGACCTCACCAGTACCCAAGCCCTGGTGCAGGAGCTAATGCCAATTAGGTATCTGTATCATTATGGACAGGGTGACCAAACAACTTGGCAAGATGATCTCTCGAGAATTAATTTGGAGCTGGCTGAAGCCCATGCACAGAGGGACAATTAGCAGGCAGAGAAGGTCAGCTGTGAGGAGCAACTTGCAGCGCTCCAGTGAGCCAACACAGCTGATGGGAGAAAACTGGCAGCTAAGCAGAGAATTAGACCTAGAGCAGCACAAGTGTGACACTGGACTCCATCATTTGAAAGAAGGGGTCACTCAGGAATTGAGGGGTCTTGCTTCACAGCTAGGAGACCTGCATACTACAAGCAATCAGGATGTGAAAGGACTGATGAAAGAGCTGGTGAAAGTAACCAGCTGGTACGAGAAGGCCAAAGTGGCCAAGCAGAAAGGGGATGAGTGCCCCAACCACAAGGCCAAGGTGGCAGCCTTGTAGGGTCCTACACAAAGGGTAGAAGGCTGAGCTGGAGAGGGCTCAGACTGAGCTGGCCATAGCTCTGTAAAAGCTGAGTCAGGCACAAGAGACAGGTGGAGAAAATGAGCCAAAGGTTGAAGGGGCAGAAAACAAAGACCCACAAGACAGCCCGAAAAGAGAGGTGCTCCCACAAACCCGCACCCATTGGGCCTGGTGACCAGAAGGGATGAACCAGAGCTTGTCTCTCAAAGCCAGGTCCAATATAGTAGACCCAGGCTAGAAGGCCTAGCTAGATTGTTGGAGCTCTGGCCTCCTCAGCCTCCACCCCTTTAGAGAGAATAACATGATAGTAACACCCATGAGGCTTGGATTGTGGTGTAAGGGAGGATTAGAGCCACACAATTAGCCCCTAAGGCAGGGGTGGGCAAAATGCAGCCCAGGGGCCGGATATGGCCCGCCAGGCCCCTAAAACATTTAGAAAATGAATAGTTATCTGCCCCTGGCTGCCCGTCATGCAGCCCTTGATGGCTTGCAAAACTCAGTAAGTGGCCCTCCACCTGAAATAATTGCCTGACCCTGCCCTAAGGCTTTATGTGCCCAGCAGGGCACCATTGACTAGCGAGGACCAGCAAGGGTCCAAATGAACTGGGGCCATGCAAATGCCCATGGGCAGCCTCCCTATTATTATTATTATTGTTGTTGTTGTTGTTGTTGTTGTTGTTATATTTCCATCAAAGCATGGTGAGCGAGAAGGGAAGGTGCCCTAGGGGTGGAGTGGAGCACAGTTGCAGAGCCACCAGGGGGCATCATGGCTGCTCCTGGGACCTCAACATGCTACAGTTCCCCATACTTCTTGCATTAATATATAAACAGTTCAGGTATCTGACTGACTGTCCTATCCTTTCTCTGAGAACATGGCCAAGGCTTCCATTATTA